GTAATAACAAATATCTGTTAAATCTATAAAGTAACAAATACATATTAATTATTACTCAAATTATTATTTCAGTCGTTCCTAATGTATCAAGCGTCTATGTGCAAAGAAAAGCCAGAACTACGGTTTTTATCATTAAATGAAGATATAGCCTAAAGATGCTTTGAGGGCTTTACTGTATAACCAGGTTTCATTCGCCCGGGCCCATGAGCAGTTGTCCCTCCCCCCATGTCGGCGCGCCTAATAAGGTCTAATTAAACAAATTTCATATTAATTACGGAAAATCAGTGCTCACAAATGAATAAGGTCTAATTAAACAAATCTTGTGTTACTTACTTGAAACCAGTGATCACAAATGAATAAGGTCTAATTAAACAAATCTTGTGTTACTTACTTGAAACCAGTGATCACAAATGAATAAGGTCTAATCAAACAAATCTTGTGTTACTTACATGAAACCAATGATCACAAATGAATGAGGTCTAATTAAACAAATCTTGTGTTATACTTACATGAAACCAATGATCACAAATGAATAAGGTGTAATTAAACAAATCTTGTGTTATACTTAAGTGAAACCAGTGATCACAAATGAATAAGGTCTAATTAAACAAATCTTGTGTTACTTACATGAAACCAGTGATCACAAATGAATAAAGTCTAATTAAACAAATCTTGTGTTATACTTACATGATACCAGTGATCACAAATAAATAAGGTCTAATTAAACAAATCTTGTGTTTATTACATGAAACCAGTGATCACAAATGAATAAGGTCTAATTAAACAAATCTTGTGTTATACTTACGTGAAACCAGTGATCACAAGTCAGTAAGGCCTGATTAAACAATGTTTGGTTCGGGCAAAGGTACGTATATTTTCGTCCTTGGTGGTCACACACATGGTAAACCTGACATTTTGCAAGGGGCGAATGATCAGCGTAATACCCAGGAGACTTCTCCAAACACGAAAAGCTTGTTGTAGGAACAAAAGCCAACTGAGGGTACATCCTTTTCTGTGAAGAGATGAGAAGTAATTTAGATAGAATAATTTCCTTCCAGCTATGGATAAAATTCAGTATAAATTTAATGATAATCCAAGAAGAACATTGTTATAAAACATAGTTTGTTAGACAAATTTACCCAAACTATATGTAATAATTTATTTAAGAATCGATCACAGAAGGACAAGAAAAACGTTGTTATAAATTATAACATAGTTTGTTAGGTGAATTTATCCAAACTATATGTAATAATTTATTTAAGAATCGATCACAGAAGGACAAGAAAAACATTGTTATAAATTATAACATAGTGTTGCGT